TGTTCGGGAGGGTTTCAAGAAAAATCCTCCTCGCTCATCCAAAAACAAACTCCAGCATATTCAGTTGTCAGACATGACTGGAACTTCAAACAGCACTGGCTTCAATGGTTGGATGAAACTAAAAAAAAAAGAGCTTTTTGCAGCAAACCCACCAGATGGGATAAAAAGTACCCCATGCCCACGTTTAAATATATGGCTGGATCTTTAATGTTGTGGGCCTATTTTTCTGTCAGACGTCCCGGACATCTTGTTCAGAGACATGGCATCATGGATTCTATCAAATACCAAGAGAAAAAAAATGTAAACCTGACTGCCTCTGTTAGAAATCTTATAATGGGCCCTGGTTGGATCTTCCATCAGGACAATGATCCAAAACAAACATCAAAATCAACACAAAAATTTATCACTGAGCACGAGATTAAGCTTTTGCCATGGCTGTCCCAGTTCCCTGACCTGAAAATGAGCAGGGTGAACTGAAGAGAGGAAGCACTAACATGGAGCTGGGTATCTGACGGGTCTGGAGAGGTTCTGTATGGTCTCTGATCTCTTTTCAGGTGCTCTCTAAACTCACCAGGCATTATAGGAGAAAACTCAGCGCTGTTATCTTTGGAAAAGGACGTTGCAATAATTGGGTGTCAATAATTGTGGCCAATGTAAACTAGATAAAAACATTAATTTCATAATGAGATTTTCTCCCCACTTTCCATTGTTTTACTTCAATTGTAGACCAGAATTTTTGAATGAAAGAGCAAACGGATAAACAATTTTTACAGCCACCTTTGCTCAAATTTACAAAGGGTGCCAATATTAGTGGAGGGCATTGTATATTCTTAAAAATGTTGTACTTAAGAAAATGTTTCAGTCATTCTAATTTACATTTTAATTACAACTTGAAAACAATGCAGGGCAGATGGAATGCAAAACTGGGATAGTGACCTGGGGCCTCATTTATAAAATGTTGCGTATAAACCGTCCTAAATTTGTTCTAAGATAATTTCTCATAAGTGCGTAAGTGCGATTCAGAGAAAACGAACGTGCGCACAAAAACCCGTGCGTACGCCTCTCTTCCAGATGTGACATTTATAAATCGCAAATGATCTTGAAATTGTGCGCAGCTGACTGGTGTCAGATCTCCGCCTTGTAAACGCCCCCTAATTAATATAATTACCATATAAAAGAGCACACGCCAATATCCGAATTTCTATGCTTGAGAATGACGAGCACAAAGAGAAAAAAAAAACTTTACTGAGTCTGAAATTGAGGTCCTGCTGGCGGAGGTAGATGTTCGTACGAGGACGCTTTTTATTTAATAATGTGTACTTATTCTGTGGACAAACAATGTGTGTGTGGTTATATTTTTTCTATTGACTATTATCAAAATTACTACTTCTAGAAACAGTAGTAGTAGTAGTAGTAGTAGGTTTCCAAAAGCAATAATAAACTACGAATTCAAGTAAAATTCAGTCATCTTATAAAAAGTGAGCCACTTGTAAAATCACTTGCTATGACAACTAATAAAAGGTTTATCACGACATTCTTGCAAAACTTTAAAATTATTGAAAGTAAAATTGGACGTTTCATATCATAATAAAATAAATTATTACACGATTATGGTCTCCGGTCTGAAAAAACCTGCGTGTGATTTGGCATTTCTTTATATTTACACAGTTTACTAATGCTGCTCAAATGTGCCATTAATGTACTGACACAAA